CTCAGACACCTGGTACATGGACACGGCATTACTCATTCCGGATTGCGCCGAGAGTGAGGTGATGAGCTGCACGAATTCGGTGGCGGAGGAGCTATCCAGTCCGCGGGTGGGATTATCCCAGGCCGTGAGGGTAGGGTTGACCGATAGGGCTTCGATCAAAGTCACTCGCTTGCGCTCTCCGCCAGAAACACCTCTCACGAAAGAATCGCCCACGATCGTGTTGGCAGTGTGAGATAGTCCGACAGCCTTCAATGAAGCCTCGGTCATCGCGTGGGCAAACTCGGAATCCGACCGAGTTTCGTTCGCGGGCTTGCGCAGCTGGAACGCAAAGCCCATGGTGTTTTTGACGGATAGAGTGGGGAAGTGGAAGTCTTCCTCACTGGCGTAGACGGTCTCGGATCGGTAACGACGTGCCATCTCCTCTTTGGAGAGAGTAGCATACTGCAGCTGGCCTTGAACTTCAACGAACGAGCCGTGGCTGTTGGCCAGGGTCTTCAGCAGGGTGGTACACCCAGCGCCCGGCCGTCCCAGCACGAGCATCGTCTCCCCAGGAAAGATCACCCCACTGACATCGCGAATGAGCTTGCTCGTTGGTGTAGATTGCTTTCCGGTCGCATCTGTGACGGCTTTGACGGGCCATTGCACAATCTTGCTCACAATCGCTGGCAGAGTCATGGTTCTGTTGACCCCGCTGGCAACCCCCAAGACCGTGAGGTCTTTGAATACCACGCCAAGTGCTCGACCATCCTTGCGATAGATAGGAGACGCTGCAGCGGTCTCGCCCCCGGTGACTGGTTTCTCCTTTTCTGAGCATTAGTTCCATGTTCTTGGTCCTTTGGTAGAGGGAATCGCATATTCAAATCCAAGACTTACCATAAATCGCTGGGGCGGGTAAAGCCTGATGCTTGTTCAGCTGATCTTCGTTAAAGAGATAGCTAAAGAGCACGAGCGAAGATACTAGTAGAGTTAAAAGGCTGCAATTTAGACCAGGGTGCATGATGAGCTCATGCCCATTTTATATAGACCCTGTGAGTCTACGAGGTTGGAGATACGGCAAATTCATGGCAACGATGACAAATTCGGCAGGGAAACTGGCTACATGCTACATGGAGGCAATAGCTTTGTCATGTACAGATAAAATCTTCATGACGAACTTGATCGACACGTAAATGTCAGTTGCTAATGAGCCGAAAATGCTCGGATAGAAAGGATGGCTCCGATTTGTGGAGGGTTGCTAGAAACCCCTGGAGTGGAGATCAATCGTGCCGAAATCTCTCGGGGATTGCCCAAAAGGGTAATGATCCAGCCCATTGCACGTGGGCCGTCTTGGAGTGAACCCCCCCCCCCCCCTACCTCCTTCCATTAGTCAGTACAGAAACTCGGCGCGATTCGACCCTGTGGAATCTCCATTCAGCCAATAAGACATGTAATTGATGCCCGAAATGCTGGTGGACAGAAAATCATTCCCCTCGGCAATCTGTTCGAGTGAGGGCGTTCCCATGCCGGGAATATAGCTTAACGGTTCGTCCAAAGGGTCCAACAACTCCCCTGTAGGTGCCGGGAGGTAAACCTCACTTTGGATACCATGCAATTAATAGAAGACTCTGGGCAGGGTTTGAGTAAAAGGGCAATCACTTACTTGAGCCAGGGGAAATTGTCCGCCATGTTCTCCTCCAGATTTGCCTCGCGGGTTGAGAGCGACAGGGCATCCTTGGCACTTTTCATGATGTCCATACTCAGCGCCTTGCCGGTGATCGGTCCATTATGTTCCATCTGATCCAGGCACTGAATGCCACGTTCCACGGACTCGAAGATCATCCGCGCATGCTCCACGGTGACGGACGAATCCAACACATTATACAGAAGAGTCACGCAGGCAGAGACAATGTAGTTGGCCACGGATGCATCGTTGCGAATACACTTCGCCCTCTCCATGATGGCACTACTTGCGATCGCAATGATCTTCTTGGCGGAATGAATCGACAAGTCGATGGACTCTTGTAGGTTCTCCTGCGTAGGCGAAGCCGCCGCCGATGTCCCATCCGGGCTGTGGCAGAAGCTCGCGTACACCAGAGCAGGTCTACGGATCATCATCTTGATCAGGTGAAAGGCCATCCCCAGATGGGTACACTGGATCTCCTGCCACGCTTCGCCCTTAGGCCGATCGCAATCAGAGAACTGCAGATACGGAGGCAGGCTGTGTTCGATCTGTTGCAGGGCAGCGTCGCACTCCAGGATCGTAGCATCGACCCTACGACGATCGTACAGCGCCTGGAGGTTGGCCAGTGAGAAGATCCCGCTGGAAACCTTTTCGATAAGCTGTCCGATGCGTGCCATTGACCTCAAATAGGCGCATTGCGTTGTCGGGCCGTCCGAGTCTCCCATGTGGCCACCTTCCAGGTGCGTACGTGGCACGTCCTCGGGAAAGGCAGCGTCAATGTGGGTATCGAGAAAGCATGAGGGCCGACCGGTGAAGAAGGCACAGATCCGCTCGTAAAAGTAGACCACCCAGAATGTGATGCGCAGCCTATGCATGACGGGGGCTGATCCATTGACAACCTGGCTGCGGTTAAGACCTAAGGCCAGCACACTTCGAGCAGCATGACCTAGATAGAGATAGGCGTCGTTGGGCCTCATCCCATGTAATGCATACATAGCCTGGTTTCAATTCAGGTCAGTCATTTATTGCCCTCTTCATCTGCTGACCCTTCAAATATGGGTGAAGACGTAGATGCAAAAGCCGTGCCTACCTTGAGAAGTATCAAATGAATACCCTTGATGCAAGGCTCTTGAAACAGCATGCTATAGTCGTTTGACTGGGCCCAGAAGTAGTCCGCCCACCTGTCCAGCGTTTCTGCACTGTGGCTATCCTCTCGGGCCATTGTCCGAGCACCCAGAGCGAGAACCATGTAGACTAGATCCCTGGAGCTGACTTCGCGACCCGGAGCCGGGGGGGCCCACAGCTTCTCCCACAGGCGAACAATGATGGGCCGTTCGAGGATGGGCAGGTGCGGGTGAATCACATCAAAGTACGCGGCGATGAACCGGCGACCCAGTTCCTGCGACAGAAATGATTCAGTCAAGCCCCCGGACGAGCGAAGCCCGCCCGATCCGGCGGCGAACATGAAACGCTCCAGGCCCCATTCCCCGAGACCGGTCGGCACTGCCGTCTTGGGCTGGTCCAAAAGCCGACCGTTGGACTGGCGCTTCATACGCTGGTGAATGCGCTGAATGAAGCAGAAATGTGAAGAGGGTCCTAATTTTACACCAGGCGTCAGTCTTTCTGCGCCTGCTTCCATGTCGAGGACACATGCGGGTCCCTTTTAATGTAAACCCGGGGAAATACCATAGAATTGAAAGGAGCCTGTCTGACTGTTGGTGACTCCAATTCCCGCGCGGAGTTCTAGTTGCTGCCGATACTCCTCGGGACTGTATCGAGCTGTATTTTCGCCATGACCGACATTTGTAAGCCTGCGCCCGTCACTGTCGCTGCTGAGGATGAAGCTTGGGGTTGTGGCTTCTACCACCGAGGGTGCCGGAGGGCTTTTCTGTGCTGTAGGTCTCTTTGGCGGCCGCCCTCGAACGCGTGGCTTCTCGCGATACTTGCATGGCAGACGGTGCTGCCAGCAGCGGAGGCACGGATTCTCGCCATTGCATTTGACCTTCTTGGAGCGGCAAGACTCGCAGGCACGTTCAATACGCATGCCCTTCGACGGTTCTCGGTCTGTGGGGCAACGTTAGCTTGTCTTATAGAAAGTCCGGGGGTCCAAAATGGTCAGTGTATTACAGGGTTCTGATTCAGCCATAGGGAGGATGCGCGCGAAGATAACTAAATTACATCGCCGAAGCTGTAACCGAGAAGGATGCCTACTTTTAAGTTTACTATCATTTACCAATGTTACAGTCACGTGAAGCTATCCTAGGTATCCTCGGATGCTATCATTCGCCCAACTTGTGGAATCCGTTTGCTGAACCACATCTCGAGCCCGTTCCTCTCCTTCTCTTGCCTACTGGTGCTCAAATATATCAATCCTTCGCCAAGCTCTAGGACCTGGTTTTCTTTTATTTTTTTCCCTACGTGGCCAGGTAATGAATTAGTCAGCCGTGTGACCTACCAATCGGAATTTCCGGGTGATGGGGTCTCCAAGAAAGCCGCTGTCAAAGACGTGCGCCGGAGGTTGGAGACCCCAACCACCTCCAACCACCTGCACCTCACTCGATATAGATACTGTACTATTCCCTAGTCGGGCGCAATGGGAATGACATGTGTCTTTCAAGCTGATGCGGTCATGGAATGCAAAACCATAGGTTCCCATGTAAGCTAAGCTTCCGTCATTGCCTTCCGCGGAATGTTCTTCCGCCCTGCCCAAGGTAGTGACGAAACAAACCCGCGATGATGATGCTTCCACCTGAGATCTTGAGCAGGTTGAGTGAATTTCAGACCTCCATGATCGAGAATTGTTGGGTTTGTAGGCCAAGCTAGCCAGCCGCCTCTACCGCAACTATAACCAAAAACCTGTCGACTTTCTTGCAAACTATCTTGCAACATTTGCGACCGGCTTTGCACACGTCTCCTGAAACACGATTACCAGTGATGCGTTCTCTCAAGCGAAGCAGATGCTTCCAGCATTCTGGAAATAAGACACACGGCCTGCTGAGAACGCCGGATATATTCGTTGTTCTCGAGATCGTGGAAGCTATTCTTCTGGGTTTGGACATGCACATATTGCTGATTTTGACTCGGGTCTGTGCTACATGGAATGCTCTCATCAAAAGCTCTCGCAGAATCCAGCAGGCCCTGTTCTACATTCCCATCCACACAGACACCAGATAAACCCGTCGCAAAACAAGGAGAACCCTCTGGTGGTGGACAAGATATGGTTCGAATTCATCTTTGTAGGACTCAGCTCGCGGGTGAGACATGGTGCGTGGCACTGCCCTTTTATGCCTCGGACCAGAGAGAAAGGGCATATTTGCGCCCCGAAGCAAGGTGGCGGCGGATGCTCCTTCAGCAACCTTTAACCTCAATCGTCCGCTTCTGGAACCCCGAGTGCCTTTCGGGTCCCTATTGGCATAATCTGCCCAAAGATCAGACGGTCAAAACAGGGGCTGAGTGGACGCCGGAAGAAGACTATCTGCGCATGGAGAACGTCGCATACGAGATCGACACAGGCGCGATCTCAGCAGGGCCCCTGCCTTTCCTATGCTGGGCAGATGCCAAGGCCTTGAGACAGGTCATGCGCAAGTTCAAGCGACGCAAGCAGCTGCGCCGCGATCGTATTCTCAAGCGCTATCTTCGGAGGTTCGATCTCACCATCAACACGGAATGCCCGGATTTTTGGCCGATTGTCTGGTTTGAAGACCATCCGGTACCTGTAAGGGATTTTCGTCAGTTCTGTGAAACAAGGGATGTCAAGTTGTTGATAGCCGATCCACGTTAAATGGAGACTATGATCCCGTTCGACCCTTATTCGTCTTCTTTGGTGATTCATCCACCTTTGTTCTTGAAAACCTGTGTATACTTTTAATATATCTGGAGACGAGTCGTTCTAGGTCATACTTCGCAATGGAAGCATTGCTATATTCCAAGACTTCTGTTCTCACATTTGTTATTTGTAAATGTCGAGTCAGAAGGGGGCCCTGGCCGCTGAGATCTGTGTCTGGTCCTTGTCCAACATACCCATGCACCAGCTCCGTGACAGGGTGGTGGCTAGCGTAAAGATATCAACGCTAAAGTCAAACAAACTCGGACTACTTTTGCAATTGAGGCGGAATCAGCGATAACTTACGCGGGGCCGAGGCTATGATACCGACGCTCGCTTGTCGACTCCCGCACCAATCTAAACAGTCCAAAAGTTGCGTACAAGATTAGGTTGATAGCTGGCATATAAGGATAAGATCCTAAATTTCGTTTTTCAGCAAAAACATACAACAGAAGGGATTCGCTGGTGGTCACCCACCCAACTACTAACCTCCCGGCGTGTGGCTTAAGTACGGCTGAGCGGACGGGAAGCCCTGTTTTCCACACCCTGTGGTCGTATGTACTCGGTCTAGGCGTAGACATGTTCAAGACCATTCAAGTTACCTACCTTTGTATGAATCTACTATCTCAATCCAGTATGCTATACACAGACCCGCGAGTCATCTGGCATAAATGTTCGTGTTGATCGTAATTGCGGAGGAAGACACCCGATCCGAAGGCCGTCGCGCCCGTGGTTCGATTGCTTGGCCTAGATCATGGAGCAACAGAACTATACGAGCAATGTGTGTATAATTGATTAGACCTTGTCGCCCAACCCGCGCTGTTTGTGTCCTATTCAGTCCCTTGAAGGGGTATATACCATACCGATAAAGAAAAATGATCGTACAAGCCTTTCTCTTCAGTATCAGTCTCACTATCCTCCTCACCACGCTTCCCCCCGAATCTTCAGCCCAAGCAGGCACCAAACTCCTCCCTTGCACCAACGCCCAAATCCTGAAAAGTGACAAAGCCACCCTGGCCCACTGCGAGTGCTCAAAGGGCGACCAAAAATGCAGCACGCAGTGTCCCGTCAGCCCTGCCCCCGTCGGATCGCCATGCCCCCCCAACCTCCTCACACAACTCCACCTCAACGATTGCGCGCACCACTGCCTGGCCGACACGAACCACGTCTGCTCCTCCTGTGGGGTGTGGTTCCACTCGCTCTGCACGTGCCTGCAGACAGGCACCTGCGTGCAGCAATACCCGAACCCGGCGCCAGGCGCGGCCTACTGGGTGAAGACGCCCGGGGGCGATCTGGCAACCGTCACGGTCCCCGTCGCGGATATCCTCGCCCTGGAGGCCGAGCACCCTAAACTGGCCGAGGAAGGCTGGGATTTCGGGCAGTCGTCGGCGCTGGCGGTCTCGAACCCCGCGACGCAGGCACTGGTCATCAACTCCGTGCACTCCATCACCCACAACCAGATCCACATGCACCTGTGTCCGCTGAACCGCGACATGCAGAGGCTGCTGACGCAGCTCGTCACGCCCAAGACCCCCCTGTCTCAATTCAAAAGCCGCCAGCCGGTGCGGCTGACGCCGCAGTTCGGTGGACAGCTCATGTACTGTCAGGCGGCGCAGAGCAAGAATCAGCCAATTCCTGGGAGGATCATGTCTGAGAATATTAAGGCGGTGCGGGATGACAAGAGCCTCTGCGATTATGAGGTTGGGGCGGCGGTGATGAGGGACTCGAATGGGATTACCTGGGGTTGTGTCACTGCCGACCATCTCAGCACGGAGTACAAACGCTTCTGTGCTTGAGTTTGGATCGAAAGGAGGATTCTTGTGCGATAGGTCGTTTGCCGACGCGGTGACTTTTTATCTCGGTTTTATCTCGGCTTAAATTAAACGCTCTGGCATGTAGCAAGCATTGTTCTTTTCTGTACCCACAGGGCAATTTTCTTTATTTATTTTTCCTAACTAATGCTAAAAAAAAAGAAAAGAAAAGAAAAGAAACTTCTTTACTGCCAATTCATATATCACATCAGTATAGCGCATTGAAATGGCGTTTCCTGGCACGATATGGAGATGAAAAGCGGCTGCGCGGGAAAGTATATATAATGTACTAAAACTAGGAGCGAAAAAAGATTCCTGCTTAACCGTACCTTGCACTTCTACAACACAATGAATGGAAAATTGAGATGAGTTAGCATACCCCCATATAACCCCCAGAGCCTATCGAATGCAGGAAGAGTGAGAAGCTCGCCACTGGGAACAGAGAACGCGCCGAAGCCAGAGTTAGGGTTACATCCGGGGATGTCATGGCATCACCACCTGGATTGAGGCCCACCCGAATGACACCCCCTGACAATTGTCATTCTGACGGAGTACTTCCTACCCGACTGATAAAGAGCATACCGGGAGAAGTGCTAGCCCTTGCGCTGCGTCCCGCGGACCCAGCATAGTTTGACCACAATGTCCAAGTCCAAGCTCGCCAACATCGCGACAATCGCGATCCCCAGCGCCGTCGTGGCCGCGGGGCTGACCAAACTTGTCGACCAACAAACCGAGAAGCAGCTGCAGACCCCCTCAGAAGGAATCACCCCTCTCCAACCAAACGAAACCCCAGGCTTGGTAATCCTTCCCAAAGCCCTCCCGACCAGCACGATCCCACTAAGTCCCAAACTCCTCTCGCCATCCCCCCCAACACCCCCCGTCGACCCGACCGGCATTCTCAAATACGGGCACCCGGGCCCCGTCAACGACGAGCTGCGCGCCACCTCCTGGTACGGGACATACGACCGGCGCACGCGCAATCCGATCTGGGTGGCCGAGCACATGACGCCCGCCTCGATCGCAAACGCACCGGGCAAGCGCCGCGACAACTTCCGCGAGGATCCCGACATCCCCGCCGCGTTCCGGGCCAAGGTCAAGGACTACAGCGCGAGCGGGTACGACCGCGGCCACCAGGTGCCGGCGGACCCCGCGCGCTGGTCGCAGCAGGCGGTCGACGAGACCTTCCGCATGTCCAACATGTGTCCGCAGGTCGGGGTCGGGTTCAACCGCCACTACTGGCGGGACTTTGAGGCGTTTTGCAAGAACCTGACTACCCGCTACCCCTCTGTTCGGGTGATCACCGGCCCGCTGTATTTGCCGCGGCTGGAGGAGGATGGGAAGTGGCGGGTTAGTTATGAGGTTATTGGGTCGCCCTCGCCGAGGGTGGCGGTGCCGACGCATTTTTTCAAGGTGGTTCTTGGGGAGGAGGACGGTGGTGGTGGTGATGGTGACGGGCTGGTTGGGGGCAAGGTGGCGGTAGGCGCGTTCGTGTTGCCCAATGGTGCGATCAGCGGTGATAAACCGTTGGCGGACTTTGAGGTCGAGCTGGATGTGCTGGAGCAGGCGACTGGCTTGGAGTTGATTGAGAAGTTGAAGTCGACTGCGCGGCGAAAACTGTGCGAGGAGGTCCAGTGTGACATTAGGGTCAAGGATTTTAGTAATGCGGTTGAGGAGGTCACAGAGATGGTTGGTAAGGTAAAGCTGTAGGGGGAACCCAAGATGTGGATGAGATATACTATGGCTCAGTGTTTTCGGATAGTGATGGCTACGAGGTGTCATCTCCGTGGAGCTGGTATAGGTGGTGTGCATCTCCAGAGTCACTTCTCTATTTTGCAGCATGATTACAGGATGCTTGACAGGACACCACGAATGGTAGGAGTGGAAGTAGGGATGAAAATTTGATAATAATTACTAATTATGAGAACGAGTGACCAAGATAATAGAAGTTGAAGCAGGCGTGTCATGTAAGAGCCACGCCAAACGCCTTGTTCCAAGAAAATATCCCTCAGGGACCTGTGGCAGGGGCACCGGGACCGGCAGGGGCAGCGGCACTCTGGGTGTCAGCCAACGGCGCCCTGTAACTGCAGATGCAGCGACTGCACGGTTCCAAGCATTAGTATTTCAAGCCTAGCGAGATCTACCCATCGTGCGGGTCTAGAGGAAGATTGGAAAGGAAGGTCTTACAGGTCCTCCGTCCCACCGCATTGCCCACTAAGGGCATTGGCGTTGAGACACTATAGTAGGCGCATCAGCATAGGCTTGTGAACAGGACATACCTGCGAGGCAGAGAAATTTCAAAAGACATACCTGGGTGTTACATGTCGCGTCGTTGCAGAAGAGTCGTTTGTCCAACTGATTGGCGCCAGCGTTGAGGGAGGAGGCGGTGGCTGCAGCGCACAGCAGAGTGAAGGTGACAATAGAGGAGAACTGCATGATGAAGGTGGAGGTATGAGAGTGTTGCTGGTGATGAACTGTCTTTTGGAGAGCAATGGAGGAATCGAAGGCTTGGACTGTGATGAGATGATTTGTGTATAAAGAAACCTCCCGGGTGACATAGTGGGATTTTATACTTCGGTTTGCCCCTAACCAGCTTCAGCGCACACGGTAGTCACCAAGATCAACATGCATTGTTTGCCTTCTGCTTCTCATACAGTACCTAACTACGGTGATCAAGTTCGGCTAGTTCAAAGCTTCACGCCACATTCCATAGTGTAGGAATACAACCATGTGATCTTCAATTCATGGTTCCCAATTCGGGACCATCGAAGAGGGTGATTACTATGCGAGTTCTACTAAATACAAAACTGAACCCATATCGTATGGTGGCTTCCATCAGAGTCCTGTCATCAATGATCAGCAATTCGAACTACTAGCTAGTAGATAGTTACCGCAAGAATCTGAAGGGGGCAAATAAAATGATGCTGCAGATATGGCTCCCGCACAATCCTACATGTCATACCCCTGGGTGATCCACAATAGCAGACAGTGACATCTGTCATATGGAACAGATCCACTTAAACACAAGCTGCGTGCATACCTCCTGAAATTGTCAAAATATACTCTAACAAGATATGTCACAACAATGATCTGCTTGATATTCGAACTAACAATCTGACTTCTTTTTCGAACCTTTCACATCACCGTGGTAGACCCAAACTGATACATCACACACGTCTCCGAATAGATCTCACAGCACAGGTAATACATCTGCAGGTAGAGCGACAGCCGGCCACGACCGGAATCCTCCAAGATCTGCACCAAGTCCTGCAGGCATCGTACCGTACAACTGTGTTCGTACTCTGCCAGCAGCCGCAACTGCGTCTGCACGTCTCCGTCAGCCTGCAGGCTTTGTGGCGACAAGAACTCGGGAAAGTCGACTGAGTTGAGGTTTGCGGCGCGGCGGTCGCGCTCGATGCTACCCAGGTCATTCCACAGCCTGCCTTCCACCGAGATCTGCCGCCACAGCTTCTCGGCCAGGTACTTTTCTCTGGCAGTGGGGAAGACATCACCCTTTTCTTCAGACCCAAGCTTACAAACTAGGGACTTGGAGACCACTGCACTCTTGACGTCGTGAACGGCAGAGGTGTGTAGCCAGGTGAAGAAGCTCTGGCCGCTAATGACAGGGATGATGGCAGACTCGCAGCTCTCTGGATGCTTCTCGCCACGGCCAGTCGTAATATTGTTGTTGAGCGATCTATGCGCCTTGGCTTGTTGTATGGCAGCTAATGTCGCCAAGCTGACTTCCTGTCGCAGATCGCGTCGATCGGCAGGACTCGGCTTGGCCGTGGCGAGGTTCACATTGAGAACAAAGCGGAACCAGATAGCGAGGTTGTGCTCGACATTGCTGAGTACACTTCTGGACTTCCCAATCGTTTCAGAAGTGGGTCTAGCGTGAGGAGAGTGATCTCGGCAAAAACCATTTGTGCCATGGCACAGCTGCTCAATGTAGTCGGCTATGGTCTCAGAGGCCGAGTCAGGCAGAGCCACCAGATCCCTTTCCATCAAGTCATCCTCCTGGAAAATCCCAACGGAAAGTTCGACCATACTGTAGACAATGCGGGTGCTCAACAGATACTCGGGTCGGGAATTATTGGCCAACGTCCAAAAGCAGGCAGCGAACTCGATGTATTTCTCGCCAAGAGCGTTGCCGGTGGAGAATACATCCAAGTCCTTCAGCCTGTAGCTGAATAGGAGAGCTTCGACCACGGACGCCTCAACTACCCACTGTGGCGTTTTCATCTGCGACGGCAATCGCGCGAAGAATTCAGCCATTTTGCGAACCGTGGCAGCCGGAATGTCAACGAGCAGAGATGGTATTACGGCCAGTTTGTTGCCAGGGGTCTCAGTGTCCCCAGCCGTCACGGCTGCCATGATGTACGAGTCCGACACCGTTGGAATGGCATACAAGGTCTTGTCTAGCCAAAGCTGGTCGTCTGTCGAGCTGCGTTTGTCTCTGGATAGGATAAACTCGATGCCTCGCCTGACGGCATCCTTGAGCTCGCTGGAGATCCTCTCGGTCAAACTAAAAGATGTCACGCTCTTCAATATAAGGAGACCATAGGCCGTCTCTTCCGCAGAGCCTGCGCTGCCCCAGGAGCCGTCCTGATTCTGAGTGCGGACCGTTCGGATCACAGCCTGGAACAGCGTGATCGGGATCTGGAATTTCATCAGATCATCGGGCAATGCAGCTAGGTCGCCGGCACTCCAGCGCTGCAGGTAAGACATCAGGGCTTCGCACACCAGCATCGTCGGGTAAAACGATGAGATGTTCTAGAAGACCTCCGGGTTAATTATAACTTGGGTTTTCGTATCTTAACCAGTCGTGTGACGTACCCATTTATCACGAGGCATCCGATCGCACTTCAACCATTCTTCGCACAGGTAGCGAACACACTTCTCAATTTGAAGCTGGTAGCGGTTGTCGGTGGAGAGCAGCACCAGCGCGGTGAGGACATTGGCATTGGTGCTGATGCTCTTGTGCGTCTCGTATGAGTAGGTTGCGAAATGTGTTTCACGTTCAAATCGATCGACCAATACCTGCGGCGAATAGCGTTTCCCCTGGAGCATTAGAGCTACCAAGGCCTTCGCGGTGTCATCGGCATCTGGGCATGCCTTGGGGACTATTGGTAGGCAGAAGGATTAGCAAAGGGCACCGCAGCGATCAAATCTACCCTCAATTCCCCGGGTAGGGGGGGGGTTACTCTACCGAAGCCTACGAGTCCATGCTGCTTGATTTCTGCTTCGATCGGCTCGCCAGTCCGCTGTAGATCGGCGCTGGGCGCAATACCGTTGCGTAGCAGATTCGTGGCCACCTTGGTTAAATCAGCATCTCGTTCCATCAGCACTTATGATTGTGGGCGAGAACAACATACCCACGCCCACTCAAACACTGTGGTCGGATAACCAGCTGCCACTAGTCCCGATCCCAGACCAGCGCCGTTGGAGATTGCGCGTCGAATATAATCTTCGGCCTCGTCATCCCATACGGGGCTATACATCAAATATGCCGATGTCGCAGATGGCGAGGCCAGCATGCTGCCTAGGACTTTGTGCTGGACTAGCCCACCGAAGTCAATCTTCCCGACTAGAGCTTCCAACGAGTGCAAAAGCGAGGACTGTGGACCGCTGAAGATGAGATTCAGATCAATCTTGGCTAGTTTCTTCGCCTGCAGCTTGATCAGGTTGGTCCGGTTGAAGTTGAAGGTGTGGCCCTCTGCCTCTAGCAGGTCCAGCATGGCTGGGAGTCGCAGTTCAAAGCTCACGGGTAGAATACATGTGACTACCAACTCGTTGAGATCTTTCAGAGCCGTATCGAGAAACTGCTTCGCTTTGAGGATCCGGGAGTTGAGCTCCTGCGCATCGACCTCCGCTGGATCTGCGGCGTGCCTTTGCAGGGCCAGGAGAGCCGCCAGAGTGTTGGCAATAGTATCTAATCTGGCGGTGGAACTACCCCAACAACCATCCAGCTCTTGGAGCCGCAGAAGGGTCGAAAAGGCTTCCGGAAACGCCCAGATTGTTGCGCCTCCCTCGTTCGGCTTTCTGACAAGTGAGACCCATGCAGTGTCGTAGATGTTGCCGGACATTGTACCAAGTCCATAAATGGGATGATGCGAGTTTGCAAAACTCTCGAATAAGCATTGGTTCTTCGTCTCTATCAATGTAGCCACAGCATTGTCACGCATCATGTCGGATAGATGCCTCGAGGAGGTGTTGATGAAAAAGAGAACCGAAAGGTAGATGACCGACTAAAGCTGGGAAAGGCGATGCAGTGCTCTAGCCACAGCTTAAATGTATTGGATGTTTATGCGAACCGAAGATATGATTCAGCTAAGGTGCATTGATTTAGCAGGGCTGACAGAGTAACCAAGCTATAGCTCGATTGGGCTCAAAGTTACCTGCTTAGCGCAACACGTAGCCGACAGAGCTTCGAGGGCATCAAAGAGGGTCTGATCGGCAAATAGGATTTCTTTTTTGGGCACCGATTGTCGATTCATATGATTCCTCAGACTAGCATAAATTACGTTGCATATTCAGGCACTGGACTGGCCTGAACAAAGGTTCAGTAGAGCAGGTAAGGTTTCCTAGCGATCCGCAGAGAGAAGATGAATTCATGAGGATAGTGCGACAAGACTAACTCCTGATGGCTTGCAGCTATTTCGAAGCAGTCTACCGGTACTCTATTACGCGCGTGACCAGGATGAATGTGT